GATCCCCATCCATGCATTTCCAAAAGTGTATCCATATATGTATTTATATTTGAGCTATCCAATACAATGTTCAATACCAATAATTTGATCCTTGAATAGAGGAGTTTTTGTCTACTATTAAGTTAATTATGATGAGTTTATCCATAAAAAATGGTTATTTACTAACACCCCTATAGTTTCACAGATTTACTAAAACCTACCCTATAGTTTGTATTTTACTAAAACACCCCTATACCATTTTTCTCCCCATAAGCAACCACTCTATTTGGTTATATTTGGTCAATTTTGTTTCTTATATGAAGAAGTGTTAGGGATACTTATGAAATAAACAATCATTGGACCATTCCCTTGAACATTTTCCACTCAAGTTAGGTGATCATGTTACTATTTTCACATGGCAAAACAAACACTTCTTAGTGAAAGGTTGATTAAGTAAATAGGTTTCAAATTATAGAGAGTGTTTTAGTAAAATGAAAAATATAAGGTAGGTTTAAGTAAATCAATAAAACTAGAGTGGTGTTCTAGTAAATGACCCAAATAAAAAGAGTTAATTATGAGTCATGATAGTAATTTATACCTATACCTATATCTATATTTATTATTAAAAAGTACAAATGAGCATGTGAAACTTTTCTTCTATCTAAAATACCCCTATTTGTGAATTAGGTCCCTCTCTAATAGTAAAGGCAAAAATAAATAAAGTTTGAAGTACTACTTTACCTCTCATTAAGGATCTTATATTTGAGGTATTAACTACCATTCTCTCTCACTCAGTTTTATATTTAAAATAATTTTTCCTCAAAAGTAAATTCTACTAATTAGATTTGTATCCAATACTTTTAACAAATAGTGGGTAAGCAATTCAACTATCTAGGTCAAATGGGTCAACCCATTATGCCATAGTTAAATAATGACATTTTTAAAATAAAAATAAATACAAAAATTATAAAAGGTCAACAAATGTAGAAAATCTAGGCTTATAATATTTTATATTAATCAAAAAATAGGTGTGATAAATAAAATTTGTTCTTATTGATGGTGGAAGTGAAATTCAAAATTTAAAACCAACCAAAAAATGAAATTGTTTTCTTGTTTAGCAATGGATCAACAATTCAACCTTTCTTTACCCCCCTAAAAAACAGCTCAGCCTTTTGGATCACATGTGTCAGTCCTTTATTTGTAATTAAATAATAAAGATTACAAATGGGTTGGTTGGGTGAAAAGTTACCACCCTTACTTGTGGGAATAAAATTGTTGTAGTTATTCTGCATCCTAGTTGAGTTGAGTTCATTTATTTAATATCCCAAACCTGATAATCAACTATTTTACATTGTCCCTAACCATGTGTAGATTCTTCATTCTTTCTATCCAAAAAAGAACTAAAAGATTCTAGGCACAACCATGAGTTACTTTTTCAATTAGATAGGGATGAATGGTTAAACTAGATGATGGCCACTCAATATCCTTTTAGGTATAGAGGTAAACCCATATAACTACAGGCTCTCTATGGTAAAGTCAGTGGGCTACATACACCCAATTCTGTCTCCACCCTTTAGTCCCCTTGTAATATGTAATGCAATACCAACTAAAAAGAAGGGTAGTGTTAATCGATTAACTACAAAATTACTAGTGTTTAGAAAAGTATATTGGACTAGTCGATTGAACTATGATTGGGCCCTTGGCTGGTTTGATCATACCCAAAAAATCAGAATTTATAAAAAAACTGACTAACTAGTTGGTTTAACAAGAGAACCAGTGAATTGGTCCCAATTTTAGAAAACTGTATAGGTTACTAAATTAATGGAATTTTCAAAAAGCTAATGACAATACTTGAACCCCTGGCCTATTATTTATGTGTAATGACTTTATACCTTTAATCCATTCCTTTATTTGTATCCATTTATGCATATTTAATGTATATATTGTTTTAATATACATATTTTAAATAAAATGTGAGTTGAGAGGATTTAATCCTAGCCATTTGCTTTAAAAATCAAAGAAACTAGCCATCTATCCACCACATTCAAGAATGATATTATTTGTTATGTATATATGTTATATCATCAAGGGCGGAGCCAGGGGACCTAGGGGAGCCATGCCCCCCCTATGGTTCATAAAATCCCCATTGTAGTACAACTTTTCATGTAAAATTTCCCCTCCCCCCACTCCCCACCCCAATGGTTCCCCCAATCCATTTAGGTTTTGGCCCCTCATAAAAATTTTCTGGTTCCGCTCCTGTATATCATCATTTTTCTACATTCAATTTGACCATAACTGAACCTTTGGCCTATGAAAAACTCTCTCTTTTTTAGTTCTATGATGGGTGCAATTCTATGAACACTGAAAATTAAGAGAAGGGTCATTTACTTAGATACCCCTATAATTTCATATATTTACTAAAACATATCCTCTATTTTATGTACTACTAAAATATCCCCTATAAATTGTATATGTTTTACTTAATTCACCCTCCATCAAGAACCATTTGTATTTCCATCTAGGAATGGTCACACGACCCCTTGATGTGTGTTGAAAATATGAAGGGCATTGATCCAAGGTTTTTATTCCAAAAAATAGCCCTTGTAATCCTCTCATCAAACTTTAGAAAACAAATAAACCCTATCCCCACAACTTTGTTTGGAAAAGGGATGGAGTACATGTGATATAAGAACTTTTAGAGGTATTTTTGGAATAAAAAATCTTGAGTCTATGCCGTTTCACATTTTTCACTCGCTTTTAAGAAGACAAGTGACTATTCGCAAATGAAAATACAAAAGATTTCTGACGGAGGATTGAATAAGCAATTAAAGTAATTCCAAATTAGAGGAGGTGTTTTTAATAAAATGCAAAAGAGGGTAGATTTTAATAATACATAAAACTATAAGGGTGCCTAAGTAAATGATCCATTAATAGAAACGCCCATTAGAGGTGGAATTATTTAATTTAAGGTGTTAACAAAGGAAGCCACATTGATGTCAGTTGAGAATATTTTTTGAGTCTTTAGTATTATTGTAATGGTATGATTATGCAATGTTAGTCACGCCTACAATAATTAACAAGGAAGGAATATAGAGAATAAAGTCAACTCTTATTATCCACTTACAAATAAAACATTGTTGAGTAAGAGGTTTTGGTTTGATGGGCGGACACTTCTATGAGACCTCCCATTTTTAACCTGCTTCTACAAATCCAGTGTCCACCAAAGCCCCACAATCTGTTTTTTTTTTTAACAAGATTCATCATTGGACCGGGTTGAAAATTGAAACTTGGGGAAGGCATTGGCTCCAAACGAAGATGCTAGGAAGTTACCTGCTCCTGCCCCTGATAGTGAAATATTTTTGGGATTGGCAAAGTTTTGCAAAGTAAGGCTGTGTTTGGTGGGCTTGTCTTTTTTCATTTTCAATATTGGATTTCTTTCTTTCTTTCTTTCTTTTTTTTTGTGTGTGTGTGGTGTGTTAAAGAAATATCAACTTAATACATGAACAGGACGCCTACCATATGGATCAAACCCGATAAAGTCTGTTAGAGGTGTGGGTTGATACTGATACGTAAGTTGGACCAGGCTCGGCGCATGGCCAAACGCTGACCAACATGGCCACGGGATTTTCTTTTCTCTCGTCGTCAGTTGTCATTATGTTAGCGTTGCGCGTATATGCCGTGGGTCAGTGGGTGGGGGTGGCCGTGGGGGAGAAGGGATGTCACAAGCTGAATTTGATACCGGTCTTACCGGCTGCAGCCTGTGGGCCGTGGGAGTGAGACCCATCATTTGATCTATGCCGCCGAGGGAAATAAATGTATTGTAATGTCATTAATGTCTAACGTGGGCTTTCTGTAACGCTTACCATCCATCGGCCATCGCATTATCGAATAACGATATCCCAATTTCCATCGGCATGACGGCATCCGTAGAAGAGTGATGGGTTTTGTTTCGTAATTTCACTCCCTTTTGACTTGCTCAGCGTTGGTTCCATTTGTTTAGCCAAACCTTGCAAAGAAAAACGTCTTTGAAGTTTGAAAAGGACTTCTCTCCTCTCTTATGAGACCGGATCTGCTCCTTACTTCTGGCGCCTTACAGGTGTCTCACACGCACATCTTATCATGCATTGGGAACATCTTTCTTATTTATTTGTTATTATTCACGGGAGATGTTTCTTATGCACGGTCGATATGCATATAAGCACCCATTTGTGAGGAACAGATCCCGTCACCTCTCCTATAGTCCTATGATCCTATCCTCTCCTCCTGTCAATTGCAGATTGATTGGCTTTGCTTCTCCCAAAAACATTATCTGATTTTGTTTGTCTATCTGTGACTGTGTTTGGTTTGGTTAGGGGCCTTTTATTTCTCTTCCCCGCTCTATCAACCATATGGACGTGGATGTCTTGTCTTGTCTTAACCCGGAACCAGAAGGGCATTTTGTGTTAATTTTATCCAAGGCCGAGGTTCTGTTTTATTAGTTAGTGGGGACGGTTGGAATTGTCTTGTGGGGTGCGTCACTATTGCATTTGTACTCTTTGTCCAGGTCTAGCAGCTCTGATAAGTGATAACTATTGATTGCTGGGTGAATGTATGAATCATTATATCACATCTGCGCCCTACATGCACATTTCAGAGACTGACCGATGAATCCACGTGTCAATAATCCCACATTTCACTCGTGTGGAGCTCCTCAGGCCATTCTAAACAGCCTATAGCTACATATGACTTATGAGCCTCGTGGCTCCCACCTGTCAGAATAATCCCCCGGCCCAAAGCCCAACCAACAACTCCAACAACAATGCCTTCTATTCAAAAGTTCTGATTTCTGAGAGAGTGTTTTTCTTTTCCTTTTTTGATGCAATATAGGTACATAACCAATGGTGTTTTAGTAATTACATAACCCGTGTGCGTCTGCGCCCCGGCTTGACCAGCGCTAACTGAGCGTCCCTCTAGCATCTACCTCCACAAGGGGCCAAGGGGGATGACCGGATGACGGGATGATGGGGTGAGCCATAGAGGGAGGGAGACGGATATATATAAATATAGTTCAGAGAAGCGTATAGCTCCATTCTGCCGCAGGCCATGGAGCCCGAAGCTGGAACCTCCACTTCTCTCCGAAATCCTTCGCAGGTCTGGGCTTAGGGTTTCTTTGCTTCAGAACTCATTTTTCCTTTAATCAATTACTTATAATAATCCAATTAGTTCTGCTTGTATATTTTTCCTTTGTTTCTGATCGGGTTTGCGATGGGTTTGATTGTGTTTCTTTGCTGATTCGATTTGGTTTTCGCGCTTAGTTGTGCTTCGTAATGTCTTGAATGTGTAGCCGGAATTGGTGGATAATCAGTGAAATTGAAGTGATGATGTATCTCTCCCTTTATGGCAGTTTAGGAGGATATTCTTAACTTGAGCCCTTGAATTTATAGCAGGTTGCGGTATTACAACTGAGATCACAAGTAAATAAACTCTGAAAAAGAAGGGAAATGTCAATTTCCTTCCTTCCTTCCTTTCCTTCTTTATTTCTTTATGTTTGTCTTTCTGTCTTTCTTTCGTATTTCATTTCTTTCTTCGAACTGTATTAATGGTTCTATTTTTAGGATATAAACTATAGGATTAGTTAGTCTACTTTCCGTTAGAGGATGGGATCTTAATGATTCATGGCGTTGCTTTTAAAGTAAAAATTAGGATCTTGGTAATGCTGCGTTCCGGGAAGAAAATAAAGGGAGAGGAATTTCAGTTTCTATTCCTATGCAAATGCTTTCAAACTGTAGTTGATCCTGACAGTTGAACTGCTGAAGCAGAAAGCTGATCGGATTCATGGTTTTTTATTGTTTTGGTTTTTTCACCTGGTGAACTGACTGCTTGAACTGTTAAAGTGGTGACTTCAACTTTCCAGTTCAGCATCTAGGTTGCTTTTTAATACATTGGGCTATGGTAGCTTCACAAGGAGATCTTAAATGGTCGTAGAACGTTTGGACACTTGCACTATAGTAACTAAGGATACAACATTGACAGACCAAATACAATTATTTTTCTTTGTTTTCTTCTTTTGGACTTCTTTGATTAGTAATCAATTACAAAAGTTATACCAAAACAAGAAAAACTTAACTTTCTAATCATTTCCTTTTTTCCTATGTGTTCTCCATTTCCCTATTTATTCTCTGTTATGTCCTGATATTTCCTCCTCATCTTTTCTTTCTGTCATCCTCTATCCCAAATGGAAATTCTTGGAGTTTCATAATGGAAATTCTTGGAATTTCATTCTCTTGGATAATGTTCTGATTACCATAAAGACCCTAATGAATTCCACGAATTATAACAAAACTTAAGTCTATGCGTTAGTTAAAGACTTATATTTTGTATGGCAGTTTTTTCTTTTTCTTTTGGATGAATAGCTGTGTTGTATGACAAAACTTTTCTTTTATCAATAGTAGATAATCCTTCAACAATTGTGATTGATTACAGAAGTATAGTCGAGCTTCATCCAAAGGTCCTCATCACTGTATAGGAATAGAGGATGGTACATAAACAACACACCGTGGGATATTATCTCCCTAGTACAGCCCATTCATCAATACCACTTTGTCAGTTACACCACGCATCAAGTTAGTGACCATGAAGGCATGAAGTTCATCCCAATGAAAGTCAATGCTCTTGCATATCCAATGAAATACCTCAAAACCCATGTATAATTCTATTGATAAAAAAATTCCATGTATGAATCTTGGTATCTATCCAATAATAACCCAGAAGTTCACCCTCTCAACCTTCTCAAAGCCAAGTAGAAATTTATGCGGGATCCTGTAGCAAGGTCCTGATTTCTTCCAATAAACTCCAAGAGTGCGGGGTGCCTCCACTCTCAAAGTCCCCTTGTTCCCAAGGAGGCACCCGTTATAGTTAAGCGGCTCTCTCTATGCCTTTGTGACAAGATATCTATTGATTAACACAACAGTTTGATGCACTTTGCTCGCTCACTGAAAAATTACTCAACAGTTCTCTGATCAAAAGACCTGAAACAATTTGAGGGGGACAAGGTCAATGAAAATTGTTGGACATATCAGAACAATAAGAAAAATGTCTTTTCTTTGATGGGACTAAAAAGATAAAGATAATAATCACCTTGATGATATGCGGTTTTTTCATACCGAGATATTGTGATAACATAGCTAGAAAAAAGTTTGGTCATAGATTTTACACTAAAAGTTCAAGAGTTACACCATGTACAGAGTTTCAGATCAAATTGCATATGACAACATCTATATGCATCCAAAGTTAGGAACAAGTAAATCCATCTTATTAATGTCTATATGTTCACCTTCTATCATGCATATGATTGCTTTTTGGAGAGAAACTTTCCTTCACTTTTAGTAATAGAAGTCTCTTTACATTTTTTCATAAAAATGTATATATAAGTTCAGCATTTTGATCAACACTTTAAAGTGGGATGAGGATTCGGCTAATGAATAGTCTATAGGGTTCTTGGCAATAGATAGGTGGGGAAAAGGTTTCAGACTTAGCTTTTACAGCTGGAAGGGAGAGTTTTCACAAGAAGATAAGATTATAACTTAAGATTAATTCATTTTTGTGCAAAAAATGCCAAAGGTTAGGACCATATCCAGTCTACCCCTCCCAAGACCCCAGATAGCTGGGACCAACATTAACAAATGCTATTGTAACATTTATTCTGGGATTGCAGAACCCTAGAGTTTACATTTCTCATGCACCCATTTTTTGATGATAAAAGAAGAATCTTCATTAAAAGAAAAAAAAAGGAATTCACATGCATTTAAATGATTGGTTCACTTTAGATGCCAAAACTCCAGCCTCTTTAACATAGTAACAGAAAAGCTAAGGACCAATGCTTCCTTACCTTATACCTGTACCATTGTTGTTTCTGAACCCCCCTCAATCTCAATATTCTGAAAAAACATTGGTATTATCAACCACAGGTCTTGTAATAAAATTATGCTTTGATGGCTGTTCATTAGAAAAACCAGGTTCACCGAGAATAGGAGCCTTGAGGGAATCAGCAAGGGTGAGCTCACCGTATGGGCCCAGCTTCTCATCATGTCATGAATAGAGAAAGCTTTAAATTCTCCTCTTGTTTGCAACCAATGACCAATTCTAATAGTAAGTATTTATCTATTAGCATTTCATGCAGCCTGTACTTGTTGAGGGAGATTTTGTCTTTCTTTATTCCCATGTTGTCCACAAAATTGCCACCCTTACAAATCTCCACATCATCTTTCCCTCTTTTCTTTGGAGAAAAAGAAGGGAGAAAATCATAAGTGTTAGAACATCCAGGGAGGTTGCGATACTGCATAGAAAAGAGAAAGAAATTGGCTCCAAGTCCTCGACACATAAGCACATAAGACAAAGAGGTGATAGTTTTCCCTCATCATTACACTTTTAGAGAAAGCACATAAGGGAGGTGGGGAAAAATCAACTTTTCCTACTATGTTGAATTATTTTTGTCAGTATTGACTTTCTGGTGCACAACTTTCTCCCTAAGATCTCTGTTTAAGAATGTATTCTTAACTATACAAGCCAATCATTAATTGCTAGAAGTGAAAGGATTACTTGATAGAGTTCATTTTGAATACAGGGGCAAATGTTTCCTAGTAATCTACACTAATAGGCTTGGTATAGTTTTTAGCTACCAACCTGGCTCAAAGGCCACCTTGGAGTATTCTTCAATGGATTTAATCAAAGTTGAGTGAAGAAGAACCACATATGAGCCAAAAGAATAGTTCAGTTAGCTCTTAAAACAATAGTTGTAATAAAGAAGATAAAATAACACACATATCCCCGTGGTACATCATTCATAAGTATTCATTCAACGATATTTATGTTCTTTTTTCCTTTGGTGATGTTGCAATATTGATATTTTATCGGTATATAGCCAATTTTTAATAGTCCATCTTCATTATTATTATTATAGAACTATGATGATGTGCTGACACTTGGTTTCTCAGTTCTCCTTGTTTTCATCTTTTCAGTCTTATATCTATCATCCTCTATAGTGAGAACAATTTTTCTTATCTGCAAACCTTTAGCTTAGAACTAAATATGTTTCCTGGTGGTCATGCAGTTATCATGGAGGAATCTCTCTAGGAATTTGATACTAGCTTATCAAAGCTTGGGTGTGGTCTATGGTGACTTGAGTACTTCACCTCTCTATGTTTATACAAGCACATTCGTTGGAAGGTTGCAAAATCATCACAATGAAGATACAATATTTGGTGCATTTTCCTTGATATTCTGGACCTTTACATTGATCCCCTTGCTTAAGTATGTTGTTATCATGTTAAGTGCAGATGACAGTGGTGAAGGTATGCCAGGAATGAAGATTTTTTCCATTTGCATGGTTTTTTTTGCTTGATATTCTATTGCCTGACAATATTCTTATACCTACTTAGGTGGAACATTTGCTCTCTACTCATTGCTATGTAGGCATGCAAAATTTAGTTTACTTCCCAATCAACAAGCAGCTGATGAGGAGCTCTCTGCTTACAAATATGGACCATCAACACAAACTGTAGCCTCCTCTCCATTGAAGAGATTCCTTGAGAAACATAAAAGGTTGCGAACTGCCCTACTTCTCATGGTGCTATTTGGTGCATCCATGGTCATAGGTGATGGTGTACTCACTCCAGCAATTTCAGGTAATAGCACATTTATGACTAGTCTGTGGTTCTACATATTCTATCTTTAAATTGAGCGTGTTTCTGTTAGTTTTAGTTTCATATGGGTTCAAGTTTTGGAGTTTATTTGTGTAAAATATGCAGAAACATTCAAGTGCTTCTTGCTATTTTATCTGTATTAATTATCCATTTATTTGCACATAAGATGCTCTTTGTGTGCACTAAAGAAGACACCTTATAAAACTCCATATTGTACATGTTAACCATCAGGCTATTTGTCTGTACCATTTAGTTGGTGAGGGTCGTGAGGCAACTAGTGCATGGCCCAACAATAAGACCAGAAATATCTAATTGTTGATTTTATATAACTTCTCTCTGATAAGAAACTATACAGGTTTTCTCATTCATATCTTTTGGTTTAGGTCTAATTGTTTATTGTTTCATCAATTTGAATTTGGATTGAGTATTGTTAAAGAAACTAGAATTGCTAGGCAAATTAGAGAAATTAATGAGTTATGGGAGCCAAGGGAAGGAAAGAAGATCATTTGGTGAAGTGGAATATAGTATGTAGGAGCAAGGAACAGGTTGGTTTGGAGGTAGGGAATGTTACTTTCAAGAATCTAGCATTGCTAGGCAAATGGCTATGGAGCATGCTCTTTGAGAATAAGAAATTATGGCATAGGGTGGTAGCAAGCATATATAGGTTGGTGGCTAATGGTTGGGATATTGGTGTATCTCCTAAGGCTACCTTGGCTTTCTCCTTGGAAAGCTATTCATGCTGTTCTTCCTCAATTCCTAAGTCTTCTCAGGTATAATGTCTAAAATTTTGTTTTAGGAAGACCATTGTTTGGTGGGAGAGTTGCTCCGCATAGATGCTTTCCCTACTTGTTATGTTACTTCACTTTTTTTAAAAAGAGCCTATCTCAAAATTTTATTCCTTGAGTGGTGGATTACTGGATTTACATGGAATTTTGGCTTGAGAAGAGGGTTGAGGGAGACTGAATGTTCACTTGTTGTTGAGTTATGGTAAATCCTTGAGACTGTTTTAGTAGATCCATCCAAGCATGATGAGAGGATTTGGACACCCAACCCAAGGGGTCTCTTCTCTTGTGCTTCTTTCTTCTAGGTTCTTGTATCATAAAATACTCATCTTTTTGTTGTGTTTCCTTCTTGGTGTGTGAAGTTTGGTGTAAGTCTGTCTCCCTAAAAATAGAGGCTTTTGTTGGGAGGTTTTTCATGAAAGATTAATACTTTGGATTTGTTGCAAAAAGGAAGAAATGTTTGTTTATCCCCAAACTGGTGCGCACTCTGAAAGGCAAATGGCAAAACCAACTACCACTTACTAACCTCTTGCTCATTTGTTACCCTTATTTGGGAATGATTCTTTTCTCTTTCTGGGTGCAGGTGGAGTGGTGGACTTTACCTATGAGCTTGGTTAGTTTGTTTGAGGTTGGAACTTTTAGATGGCCAAGGAGAAGAGGGAGTATAATGTGGAGATGTACTAGGATTACTGTTTTGTGGACAGTTTGGAAAGAGAGGAATGCAAGAATTTCAAGGAAGAGGAAATAAGTGTGGAGGCAATCCTAGAACATGTAATGACAAGGGTGATTCATTGGGTAAGATCTATGGTCCTATTTTCACCTTATTCATGTGATGATTTGAGAAGGAATTGAAATAAAGTGCCTGTATCATCAACAAGGAAGAGAGAAACTCAAAAAGATTGGGAACCACCTGATAGCTTTATGAAGCTAAACTTTGATGGTAGTAGTTTGGTAACATAGGCCCCTTGGGGATTGGAGAGTAATTTAGGGGCAAGGAGGGTAGTATAATAGCCTTGTTCTTGGGACCTATTGGCTAGTGTACTTTATGGAGTTCAGAAAGCAAACGAAATGAACCTAGAGAGGGTGGTTATTGAAGTTGACTTTTAAGTGGTGGTTGGTTGGTTAAAGAATGGGAAGAAGACAATTTGGACTTATAGAGATGCCATTAACAAGATTAAATGGCTAACGAGGGAAATGACAATAAGAATGCAATGGGTTCCAAGGGCTGGAAATGGTTTGGATGGTTCGTTAGCCAAGCAAGGGGTAAATGCAAGGCAATTATATTGGGCTCGTCATCATTTTTTTTTATCAGAAATGGTAACTTTGTTAATGAGGATTTAAATCTGAAATACAGAAGTCATCCCCTAGTAGAAGGACATGAGATTAGCAAGTGTGAGACTGTCTCACCAGAATCCAAGCAAAGACTACAAACATGGGGGGAGAGGCACATATTTGACCTCTTTATTTGCAATGTGCAAGGTATTAATTTTTTGGAGTACCACTTCCTAGCAATAAGCTTGAGTTTTTGGAGGTACAAGGCTACCCCGCACCTCCTTTGATGGAAAGTTCCCTGCAAGGTTAGAGGTCTGAAGTAGAATGTTGTAGAAAGAAGAGCAATTGAAAAAACCAGAAGGGGAAGGTTTCCAAATTCTGCTATCCCTAGAAGACTAATCTAGAAAGGCTGCCCTTAACTGAGTAATCAATTCATTAACCATCCCCATTTCTAAATCCCTTGGACCTCTTCTTGAGCCCAAATCCTAAGAATTATCAACAAACACTGATGAGATCACTTTTCTTTTGTTTTCTGACAAGGAGTAAATAGAAGGAAATCTATTTTTTTTCGATGAATAAATAGAAGGGAATCTATCTCTAAGGGAGTTTTCACCAACCCAAACATCTTCCCATAAAAAGACTTTGTTTCCTGCGTAGATATCATATTTGAAATAAGGAAGCATAAGAGACAAACTACTGTGAATAGCTTTCCAAGGAGAACACTAAGAAGCCCCAGGGTTGAGTCCTGCATCCCAGTCGTTAATTGCCAATCCATGAATACTAACAATCACTCTTGACCATAATTTGTCCTATTCCATTGGCAGCCTCCAAATCCATTTCCCCAGCAATGCTGTATTTCTTCATCTTTATATTTCCTAACCCTAAGCCTCCATCATCCCTACTCCTAGAAACCACCTCCCACTTCACTAGGTGATCCTTCTTAGTGTCCCCTGGTTCCCACAAGAAATCCCTCATTATCTTCTCTAGCTGGTTTGCTACTTCCTCTAGTAGTCTAAAGGTAGAAAGGAAATAGTTCGGTAGGTTGGCCAAGGTTGACTTAAGTAAGGTTATCCTACCCCTTAAAGAAATGTAATTCCTCTTCCAATTTGCCAACCTCTTGGAAAATCCTTCAATCACTGGGTACCAAAAGCTATTAGCCATTGGGTTCCCTCCCAGTTCTAGCCCCAAATATTGTAATGGCCAATCCCCCACTACGCACCCTAATATTCTAGCTAGGGAATCCACCTCCTCTCCCCCTAAAATAACTCCTACCACACAAAATTTTTCCCCAATTCACTTTAAGATTGGACTTCTTTTCAAAATGTAGCACTAGTCTCTTTAAATTCTGCAATTCCCCTTTCTCCCCTTCAGAAAACAAAATGATATCATCTGCAAATTGTACATGTGTGACCACCACCTCCTCCCCTATCAATCCTCCAACCTCTTATCAAATTGTTGGCATCTGCCCTTGAAATCATGGCACTCAGAACATCAACTACTAGGGTAAAGAGGAATGGGGACAGCGGATCTCCTTGTATAAGACCCCTTTTAGCAGGGAAGAAGTCCCTAGCTACACCATTTCCCAATATTGAGCAATGACATGAGGAAATGCATTCCTTTACCCATATGTACCATCTCTCCCCAAACCCTCTATGCCTTGAGAATCTCTAGTAGAAAGTCCTAGTCCACCATGTCATAGGCCTTTCAAGATTCAATTTGCAAACCAGCCCCTTTTCCTTCTTCCTCCTCTTCACCTCTACACATTCGTTGGCAATAAGTATTTGGTCTACAATTTGTCTCCCTTCCACAAAGGCCCCTTGATTTGGTGAGATTAGAGACAAAATTATCTTTTTTATTCTTAGAGCTAGGACCTTAGAAATGACCTTATACATGCTTCCCACTAGGCTAATAGGTCTGAAATCCCCTGGTTGGAGAGTGCCCTTCTTCTTAGGGATGAAGGCAATAAAAGTTGTGTTTGCTCCTGAATTAAATTTGCCTCTCTCAAAGAATTCTTCAAATACCTCCAACAAATCCTCTCCTATTATCTCCCAACAATCTTGATAGAAAGCCATCACAAAAACATCAGGCCCAGGAGCTTTAGAGCTATCCTTGGAGAAAATTGCATTTCTCACTTCTTGAGCCTCAAATCTCGTTTCCAAAGTTTCCAATAAGACTCTATCCCTCCACTCCAAGTCCTCTAAATTCTCTCTTGGTCTCCCCAGGCTGTCATACACTAATTTGAAGTGATTAACAAAAGCTTGAGCTGTTTGTTAGCATTTGCCTATCCCACTCCAATTTTGACACAAAATTCTTCCTCCTTCTACCATTTGCCACCTCAGTCAATTTTGATTCTTGTATTAGGACTACATTTGGCTTTTCGCTTCTCAACAGGTCTCTGATCACTCATCTTTTCTTTGAACTCCCCAAACCTCTTATGTTCCAACTTATTATCTTCATGGACAAATATTTCAAGTTGCCCTTAAACAAAACCACCTTCTTTACTCCTTTTTCCTATCCTTCCTACTCCTACTCCCTTTTTCAAGTTGCCCTTTTCAATCTCTCCACTTTACTCAATTTTTTCTTCCTCTTCTTAGATAGCTTTCCTACCTTCTTGCTAGATTCTTCCAACTTCTTCCCTTCTTCTCTCTTGCCTGACCACCTCTTCTTCTTTTATTTTTTTTCCTTTGTCCTTTTGATTTTCCATTGTACACACTTTTCTCCATTGTTCTGGGTTTGGATTAACCCCCTCTTCATCCCTTACCTTTCTCTCATTCAGCTCCTCTTCCATTCGAATTCTAAATAATTCCAAAACCTCCCAAATTTTGTCCCCCAATTCTCTCTCTTTTGATTTAGAATTTATCTCACTCACTATCTTTGTCATTTGCCCTAACTCAATTGAATTGGTAGACTTTACAGGTGGGTTGGATT